TCCCTCTGGGACACCAGGAGCATTTCCTTTCTGGCATGTGCTGCCCAGGTCTTTCTGTTTGTCTTCTTTGTAGGAGGGGAGTTCTCTCTCCTCACAGTSATGGCCTATGACCGCTTTGTGGCCATCTGCAGACCTCTGCACTATGGGACGCTGCTAGGCCGCAGAGCTTGTGTCCAAATGGCAGCAGCTGCCTGGGCCAGTGGCTTTCTCAATGCTCTCCTGCAGACTGGGAACACATTTTCCATTCCACTCTGTGAAGGCAATGAGGTGGATCAGTTCTTCTGTGAGATCCCGCAGATCGTCAAGCTCTCCTGCTCACACTCCTACCTCAGAGAAGTCGGGGTTTCTATGCTTACTGCCTATATAGCCTTGGGTTGTTTCATTTTCATTGTGGTGTCCTACGTGCAGATCTTGAGAGCTGTGCTGAGGATGCCCTCTGAGCAGGGCCGCCACAAAGCCTTTTCCATGTGCCTCCCGCACCTGGCCGTGGTCTCCATCTTTATCAGCACTGGATATTTTGCCTACCTGAAGCCGCCCTCCATCTCCTCCCCACTTCTGGATCTAGTGGTGGCTGTTCTATATTCGGTGGTGCCTCCAGCACTGAATCCCCTTATTTACAGCATGAGGAATAAGGAGCTCCATATTGGCATTGAAGAAACTGATTTCTTGTATATTTTTCAGCCATGGTAACATTTCCATCTCTCTTCACAAATGACTCTTCCTGTATCTCTTAGCTGGCCTTTACATTGTTCCTTCTTTTTATTTCTATTATTGCTTTTGTAAGTTGTAAAAAATTGTTATCATTTTGCTACTGAAGTACTTGCATTCGTTCCACTTCTACAGAGATTGCTCTTTCTTACCTGGCACCTTGAATTCTATCAAATACTGTATTAGGATTGGCCCCCTCACTATATCTCTCTAAAAAAGTAGGTTCTACACAGTAGAACCTTGCCCTTAGGAAACTGATTTCATGGACTTTTTTTCAGACATGCTAACATTTCTGTCTCTCTTTACCAATGACTCCTCCTGTATCCCTTAGCAGGACTGAGCATTGTTCCTTCATGTTATTTTTATTATGGCTTTTATTTGTCGTAGAAATTGTTGCCATGTTGCTACACAAGTACTTGCATTCATCCAGATTTTACTGAGTCTCTTTTTTTTTTTTTCATGAGGTACTTTGAATTGTATCCAAAGCTGTATTAGGACTGGATCCCTCACTGTCTCTGTAATAAATTAGATTCTACGCACTGGACCTTTTCTTCCAAAGCTGCTGTCAAGAATGTGCCTAGGAAATTGCGTCTCAGAAGGGCCTGCTTAAAAGACTTCTCCATGAGTTCTTGTGTAAAAAGCTCATACTAGTGCAGTGCTCACTTTAGAGACTAAGAGTTGAATTTGGGAGAAAGACGAAATTAGAGACCAGAGTTTTTAACCTTGTCTAACACTTAGGCCTTCCATCACTATGTCTATCAGTGCCAGAGATCTCTTCACGCTAATAAAAGGGGATTTTCTCAGTGCAGTGCAACCTCAACCCAGTGATGGGGGAACCCAAAGGGCCTCCAGAAACTCCCTGCCCCTGTATTCATGTTGGGGAAGAAGGACAGGAGGTCCTGGGGCAGCTGCAAGAGGAGGTGGCCACACTGCCGTGGGTCAGTGAGGTGCAGCACATTGTGCAGCACCAGTACCTTGGTGTCCATCTCGCCATCAACGTCCTGCAGCCGCTGCACCATATCCGTCCCACACCTGCAACACCTGTGAAAGTAAATGAAACTAAAAGCCCAACTTCTAGGAAGGAGTTCCAAGAAACGATGGTTACCTTAGGATCCTGGAGGACACCTGGAGCACGATTTTCATATAGCTGCTTGGCTTCTCTGTACATGATGAAGGAAATGCTGAATGGGAGTGGCCTGACTCCCACTCTCTGGCTTTAATTCAATGCCAGAAGATGGGACCCATCAATCCCACTGATTCCCTTAGAGTGGAATGGGACTTCAGAAGGTATGTCGTTTCCTGTGGAGTATTTCTATTATCCAACATTGAAGCTGAAAATGCCCTCTTGTTTGAACGCACTGCCCTTAAAGACACTAAACAGAGATAGAATGAGAGAGAGAAGGGATTATTAAGCACTAACAAGTTCCTCTTGCTCCTTCTAATACCTTTTACGGATGCGCAAGCGCAGCTGCCAGTGGCTGCAAAAGCATCCACCACATTCTGAAGGAATTTTTAGAGGAAGCCTCCCCATGGGCACTTCTCCTTGGTTCAGTGGTGTGAGGAGCAAGCAGAAAGTGCTTTCTGAGCAGGAGGTGTGTGAGTCAAGAGGTCTGGTGAGCAAGCTGCATCAAGAGGCCGTCAGGATCCTGCTCACACTGTGAGTCAGGACTGCTTGGTGCCAGGTGTGAGCACGTTGCCCTTTGCGGTGTGTGCAGGGCTGCAGTGGCCTTGCTTGAGAAGCTGCATCCCTGCTGGCTGGCTGCATATGGCAAAGGGGAGAAGAGGAGACCCTTGCTTCTTCCAGCTGTGGAAGATCCGGATACGCATGGGTGCCTTTTCTTCTACTATGTTCCAGGTTGCTGGATGGAGTGAACACCGTGTCCCGCTCAGGACACTTGTGGTCCCTTCAGGATCTGATGCTGCCCCCTTGGTCTGTCTCACTAAGCGTGAGCGAAGCAGAGCTCTTGCAGAGGAACCAGGGCAGCTTCTTTGGAGGAAGCTGGAGAGAGGGCTAAAGCAGTGAAGCAGGAATGGGTCGAGCGTCTGCGTGAGGGGTGGTCACTGCAGGGGTCATTGGCCGCAATGAGCCAGGCTGTTGTGCGCACTCAGCTGCTCCCCGTGTACCTGGGAGAAGGCTCTTCACCTAGCGATGTCCTACACAGATTTTTTCAAACAAACTTCTAGCATAGTATCAGCCTTAAAGAAAATAATGGGGAAGGAGGAGGAAAAAAATAAATAAAAGTAAAAAACAAGCAAAAAGACAAAGTAAAAGGGGAGGGAGAGGAAAGGCAAAGGCAAAGGCAAAGGCAAAGGCAAAGGCAAAGGCAAAGGCAAAGGCAAAGGAAAAGGAAAAGGAAAAGGAAAAGGAAAAGGAAAAGGAAAAGGAAAAGACAATGAAAAAAAGAAAGAGAAAGAAGAAAAAGAAAATGAAGAAGAACAAAGAAACAAAAGAAAAACAAAGGAGAAAAGAAACAGAAATGAAAAAACAAAAAAGGCGAAAAGAAAGGGAAAGAAAAAGGGAGAGAAAAAGTAAATTATATAAGGGAAAGAAAAACGGAAAGAAAATGGAAATAGAAAAGAAGACGACATTAAAAAATATGAAAAAGAAAAAGAAAAAAAGAAGGAAAAGGATCTGGGCAATCCCTGGGCTCCACTTCTAGGCAGGTCCTAGAGGCACCCATTTAATGACCCTCTTTGCCCCTAGTGTCCCAAGTCATTGGGCTTGATCACAAATGCACCTACAGTGGGGTGCTATTTTGGCTGCGCTCGCTTCAAAAAAACACACTATACTTAAAGAATGATACAAGAATATATATATAAACAACAATAACAACAAAAAATTCAATCAAGTATAACAACAAGATAACAACAATAATAACAACAATATAAAAACAATATGACAACAATAACAACCATAACAATAAAATAACAACAGTACTATAAAAAACAATATCCAATACTAACATAAAAGTCTATAGAGAAAAAGTAAATTAAAATCTTATTGGTGTCTTCCTCGGGCCCGTCGCTTCCTGGCAGCAGCCAGGGTCAAGGGAACCTTGGCCTGCAAGGAAAAGGAGGCGTTAGCAGCACGAGGGGCGGCTCGGGGGCTCCCCTGCAGCAGAGGCTCTTGGGCGGCTGCGCGGGCTCTTGGCCAGCAGCGCTGCCCTYCTCGGTGCCCTGCGAGAGGCTCCGCGTGGCCAGCGCAGCCGCGAGGCCGGCACAGGGGCTGAGGCAGCAGGTGCCGAGGCCTTGGCCGCTCCTGCACCCTGTGCAGCTCTGCCCCGGCGCCGCGGCCCGCGAGAGCGCCCGCAGCCCTGGGCCCGGCTCCCRCGAGAGGAGAGCGGCTGCTCCCCAAAGGCAGCGCGGAGCAGCGCCCRGGGGCCGGGCCCAGCCCCAGCTCTGCCCGTGCAGCCGGCAGCAGGGGCAGCACCTGGRKGCTGCAGCCGGAGCTCTCCCAYTCCATRGGTTCTTCCCGRCTGCAGSYGRSCAGGCCAGTGCTTCCCCCACCCTGGAAGAGAGCAGGAGACTTTGGTGGGGACAGTGCATGGGGAAGAGGAAGGACAAGCACATCCTGAGGCCACAAGGCCTTTACCTGGCTGCTGCCATAGCTTTCCCACTCCATGGGCTCTGGGTCATTTAGGACATGTCCCCTGTGTGTGCTTGGAGCCTTCAAAAGAAAAGAAATTGTTTGCAGGTCAGGTCAGAGCCCAGAGGYTGTGGCCAGAGGGACCCTCTACTTGCACTGGGAWGGAGGAAAAGAGCTTTCAGCAGTGGCAATRCCTTTGAGAAGGAGAAGGAGCTTTCCCACTCCATAGATTCCTCATCACTGTTGCAGACGGCCGGGCCCTGGGTGCCTAGAGCCTGGCAGAGAGCAGCAGAGSTTGTGGGGCCGGTGGCGGTGGCAGCGCTGGCTCTGTGYGYGGGRCCTCGTGTCCCCTGCGTGCGCGGGGCAGGCGGTGCCCAGAGGCAGGGCGCCAGGCTGAGGCAGCAGCCCCCGAGGCCTTGGCCGCTCCTGCCCCTGGCACAGSTCTGCCCCAGCAGCCAGGCCTGCGAGAGCTCCCTGGCACCTCTGGCACCAGCCCTGCGGCTGCTCTGGCACAGCCAAGCGCCGGCCGTCCCCGGGCAGCCCATGCCTGCACACACAGTACCTGCCCGCTGCAACAGGAGCTCTCCCACTCCATGTCCTCAACTCCTGAGTTATCCATTATTCCTTTTTTTTTGGTTTCCAGAGCCTGTAAGAGAAAAGGACTCGTTGGCTTTTGCATCCCTGAAGGCCAGGTTGTCTGTCCTAGGAGCCCGCAGCAACCTCCTTCCCCCTGGTAGCCCCTTTTCCAGGCAGGGAGCCTGGTGCCAAGTGGAGGAGAGAAAAGGCACCTGGCGGATTTGGGACCTCCCCTGGGAGGCATCGTGCAGGCTGCCCTGGAGCCCCGTAGCTCCCCTGCCTCTTGTGGGCACCAKSGGTGGCCCCTGGTGCTGCGCGGCCCTGCTACTCACCTGCCGTTGCTGCTCCTTTGGGAGCCGTGGAGCTACTGTTGGACGGAACACTGGGAAGCATCCGTGTTCC